TTTTTAAAAATGAGGTCATTCTTCTGTAATGATAACTTGCAACTTTAACTTCGAAAGCGCATGGTTAAATGCTACATTTGGTCAGTCCTCTTATACGGTGTCGAAGCATGGACATTAAAAATATTCACCATTAATCGACTGGGGGCCTTTGAAATGTGGCTGCACAGAGGTATACTAAAAATTCCATGGACGGCTATGCTGACAAATGTGGCAGTACTTAAGAGAGCAAATGCTGCTCGCTAGCTGTTTGATAACATCAAATGTAGAAAGATGGCCTATTTTGCCCTATATTAGTAAGCGGAGACCGATATAATATTCTTCAACCTATTATGATAGGTAAAATCGAAGGACGCAGAGGAATTGGTAGAAAGCAGGCCTCTTGTTTGAAGAATATTAGGGAGTGGACAGGAATAAGGAAAGCTGAGCAACTCTTTAGAATAGCTCGAGACAGAGACAGTTTCGCCATGTTAATCGCCAACGTCAAGGGGACTTAATAGGGCACGTTAAGAAGAATAAATGTTCAGCTAACTTTTGTAACGCGTTTGAATTTCAAATTTAAGTTACCTGCTACGATTTCTCGGTATTGAAGAAAGACTTACCTATTTACAAATAACAAACTTCAGTTTTTATAGGTTGACAGATAAACTATTTAGAACATGGAGGACTGTCACAGAAATTTGGATTGTGAAAAAACTCATCGTTTCGCTTCTTGTTTGGTGTTATATTCTGTGCTTTTAGTAACATAGCTCCACCTAACCTACACCGCGAACATGCATTAAAGAATACAACAAAATTATCGATAATCGTCAAATCTTAGTCCACAAAGACATTCTCGATATTCTTGGAAATCGTCACCGATTCAAGCTAGCTGCCCTGAAATCTGCGCAAGCGCTACATCCTTACAAATTTGACCTAAATGCCCGATGGAGAGAAGAATGGCAAAGTAAAACAGATTCGCATTACCATAGTCTACTGGATATCAGACAAACTTGACAGATTTAAATGTCCCCGTAAGACTTGGGAAACCCTTAATCGAATCAGAACAAACTGCGGAAGATAAACTTCCCTCGCCTTTCTGTGATTGCGGCGCTGCAAAATAGACGGCCAGGCACATAGTAACACTGCTCACGCAGAGCATACATAGGCGACCTAAGACTTCGTAGTGGCAACCGAAGAGTCAATATAAAAAACTGGATCATCATCATCATCATCATCCAGCCCCATTTTCACATCCATTGTTGGATATAGGCCTCCTCCAAACGTCTCCAGTTCTCTCTATCTTTAGCTGCTGCAATCCAGTACAAAAAACTGGATATATATTTGTAATATATTGTATAATGTGTAAATGTAAATTTGATTGCCTATTTTGTAATATAATCCATACGCTGTATAAATAATTTATTTTTTATGTTTATTTCTAACCATATTGTTATGAAGCTATTTTTTTGTGGCATTTTAAAGCAAAAACTATTTTAATTGGAAATAAGTCACAATTTAAGTTTAAAATAAGACTATTGACGTTTCAATTCTACAACACAAATGAGGAGTTTGCTGTAAGAAGGATGCAGCTCCAGATTTAGACCTTTGGGTGGAAACATACGTCATAATCAAAAACAATTGGCGAATTGACTGGTATAAAAACGATGCAGATCCGATAATAAATAAAGGAATTATACGTCTTTATGGATCTGCTTCCTCACTAATTTGGTGCAAGAAGGGTGCAGATGTAGACCTGTATCCTTTTCGCACCAAACGATTGTAAATGTTTGGTGATTTTCGTGGAATGCAAGGTCATCTTCTGTTGGCGCTGGGCCGACAGGGCTGATTTGTTTTGACTTGTTAGTCGTTATCATTACTTTGTGACGTGCGTTTTTATGTGGTTTAATTGTTCATGTAAAAATTTAACGTCGGATTAAAATGAGTGAAACCGAGTCAGATCCGTTTAGCGCTAGTGAGTCGGACTATGAACCTAGAAGCTCTGATGAAAGTTGTTGATGAAGCTCTGTGATGTCTCAGGACCTTCAGCTAGAAGGAAGTATCCAAAAAAGAAACGTACCTCTGTAAAAAAGCAACACATTGGACCTGTTGTTAACATGGAGCCCCTAGTTGTTTCTGTAACCAAAAATAGATAGAGTGTCAACCCCACTCTCTGGAAAAGAAATATGAAAAAAAGCTATTACAGAAGGGAAAATGTATACGAACTGGAAAGAAATACAGAAGGGACCGAGATTAACTGGATTGAACTGCAACTGCAAGTACAAGTGTTTTCAGAATTTGGACGAAGAAACAAGAAAAGTTGTCTTACAAAACTTTTAGAAAATAGGCGACAAAGATTTGCAAAATACTTATTAGGGAGTGTTGATTCAAACTACTACTATACAAAGAACTTGAAAAAAGACTATTGAAAGACAAGACCACACTTTTTCCCACAAATACTTTAAAAACGAGTTTGTAGACATACTTTTGGTTCAATCCACTAAATATCAAGGCAACGTGTAGATTTCATTACTAAAACTTTTCGTGACAGATATTACATTGCAGCGTCACCTACTAACAAAGGAAAGCATACAAATATCATCATTATCATTGGCTCCACATCCCATGGTGGGTCTTGACCTGCTCAAGAATAAGTCTTCTCCTATTCTTCGCCTTAGCTTTCCAGTTTTGTACTCCCAACATTCTCAAGTCTTCCTCGACCTGATTCTTAAATCGTGCTCTGGGTCTGCCTCTTCTTCTCACTCGATCTATTCTTTGGTTATAAATATATTTTGGCGGCTCCATCTCATTCATTCTCTATGTGACCTAACCACCGCAGCTGGTTTATTTTGATGGACCTAATAATATCAGGTTTGTCATACAAGCGGTAAAGTTCGAAATCATAGCGTCTATGCCATAATCCGCCCTCCTGTACTCCTCCATAGATATGCCAGAGGATTTTACGTTCAAAGCGTCTTAAACGTTCTTCATCGCTCTTTGTCATCGTTCATGTTTCCGACGCGTAGGTGAGGATGGACTTGATAAGAGTTCTGTATATCACTAGTTTCATTCTTTTTGTAACTAGGCTTGTTGTTTAAAATTTTCTTAATCCATAATAGGTTCTATTTGCCAGATATATCCGTCTATTAATTTCTGCACTTACTGCATTATTCTGATTAAGAGCATACAAATAGACTCAACCGAAAATTTAACGAAACACTTAAAAATGTGAACATGCACATTTATAGCTTTCCAAGGCGTGAATCGTAATATAGTAGAAACAAACACCGTCGATTTTATTTATCTCCAGATATAACTGTAAAGAAGATGCATCAACTCTATTTGGAACTTTACGAACCAGACAGTATTAGCAATCCTAAATATAAACCCAAAGTTCCCTATGACTTCTACTATCGATACTTCAAAGAAAACTTCAACTACAGGTTTGGCTCACCTCGATCAGATACGGGCAAAAAATGTAATGTCATAGATAACAAAGTCAAATATGTGACCCTCGACGTAAATAAATGAAAAGTTTTAGCAGCGGAAAAGAAGTTGCATGAAATTAAGGCGGATTTGTTTTTCAAGGAGCTGAAGGAGAATAGTACATTGTGCAAGCATAGCAACGAAATGGAGGTTCTGACCTTTGACTTTCAACAAAACCTTCCGCTTCCAAAAATTCCTGCTGGGGAAGCTTTCTACAAACACCAGTTGTGGACATACAACTTCTGCGTCCATTCTGGTAAGAGAAATATAGCACACTTTTATATGTATGATGAAACTACGGCTCGAAAGTCACTAAGCGAGGTAGTGACATTTTTGTACCACTATATAAAAAAAAACACCCTAAAAATGTTAAAGTTTCATACCTTTTCTCCGATAACGCTGCTGCGCAAAACAAAAACTCATTAATGATTTAGTTTCTGTATTTTCTGGTGAGAACTAGATCTATTGACAAGATAGAGCTTCACCTGAGCTTCCTTGCCTGTGATCGCTGCTTTGGAGTTATTGAGAAGTTTTTAAGAAAGAAGGACTACGTTTTTAGCCCCCAACAATATGCTGATTTTGTTAAACAATAATAAAAACAGTTTATTTTCATTCTGGTAAAACAAAATATGATCCTAAACTGCAGAAAAGCAAAGATGTCAGATTTCCAAATAACGAATTTTCCAGTACAAGCAATGAATATTTAGATGGTATTAAAGTCAGTATGTCTAATGGCCTTTCGAGTTTTCACTTATTCTAAATCTTGAGAAACCTTGACAGTGACCTTTTAGTTTCTTCTGATATTCCTGTCTATTGCAATCCTATAACTGTCAAAAAAGCCAAATATGCAGACGTAATGCAGTTAGCAACACGATTCGTTCCTATGGACCAAAAAGCTTTTTACACCCGTCTCACAAGTGATGTAGCCATGGCAGAAAACCAGAAAACCGAATCATCTGGAACGGATGATGACGACCATGTAGATGAATGAAGGATATGTTTGCCCGTGTATTTAATGTTTTATTTTTTTTCTGACTGCTATTTTCTTGACACCAACTTGTTTCTTTTTACAGATATTTTCGTATTTTTGTAGTAGGCAAACCATAGTCGTTTGATTGTTGTAACCAAATAAAAGAGTTTTTGTTGGGAATTTGTTTTTTTGCAAGAAAGATGAAGATCCAACTTTTTTCAATTCTTTTTATTTTTTCAAAAATTATCTACTTGAAAATAGTCTAAAGTATTGACTAAATCTGTTTATCATCAAATGATATTATGTCTCGGGTTAAAATAAAAACGTTTATTAAAAAATAGTTTTTTTTTTCAATTTCCCAACAATTACCAAATATGAAGATGCATCTTTCTTACAGCAAATTTCTCAATTGTAATATAACAAATTCTACTTTATAATATATTGTTTAATGTAACAATAAATGTGTAAATGGCCATAGTGGCCAGCACATTAATTCTAAATATAAAAAAAAACAGATATTACCAACCTGCTGAACTGGGGATTGTTGCATGGGGGCTCATAAAGCTACCTAGCTTTGCGCTGTGGTGATAGGAGCTCATGAAGAGTTCACTTTGGTACTTGTAACTGCTTGGATCGCTCGTTGCTGGTTGCGTTGCAGCAGCTAAACCTTGAAAGTCGAATTTGTAGGCGTATCGTTTACCGTGGACCTTTGTCATTATATTTTTATCATAGTAATATCTGAAAATAAATACATAAATTATATAAATTCTTGTAAATTATATAAATTGGTGAGAGCGCAAAGTTGATTTCGCCAAAATATGTACTATGAAAATCAAGTAAAAGTACCTACAATAGGAATATTTAAAACAGATGAAAGACTTTGCCGGATATATTTTTATTCTTTCATTTCATGTTGTCAGTTAAATCATCAATTTTCAACATGATATTTTAGCATATTTATAATAAAAAAAGAAAACAAGTCATAATATATAAACTTAAAAGTGAAGTTAATAATTAACAAAAGAAAAAATTGTATGATAAACCAATTTTTTTAGTTCGTAGAAGAAATTAGGAATCTAAAAATTATAAATTAGCAAAAAAATAATGTTATTTTCAAACGGATAAAAAAAAGCAAGGGAAGCGTGGGTTACGGTTACAACGATTTGTTTGGACAAAAATAGTAAGTATCTGTAGCATGTTATAAGAATAAAATATATCAGCAATCTGGATAATAAAAATAATAAAGGGGCATCATTATAGATAACATAGAAAGAACGAACACATGAAATTTTATTTATAAAATGAAGCAGCTTCTTGGCGACAGTAGATCTAAGAAACTACCAAATTTCAAAAAAATGACCATTGGTTCAATAACAATTAGCGGGATGGACAAGGTAATTAAATTAATTAAGGAAGTTAAGACTTCAAGAAAGCAATGTACATTTTAAATTCATGAAGTTATCTGTCGACGAAGTTACTTCTTCTTACAGTGCCATGCACCTATAGCGCGTTGGCGAATTATCTTAAGACCAAACGTCTGTCTATTCTTCTTGTTCTTCATGTGCCTTGTCCGTTCCGAACGTTGACAATCAACATGGCTATTCTGACTTTGTTTACGGCAGATCTGAATAGTTCAGCAGATGACAATCCGAACCATTGCCGCAAGTTTTGGAGCCACGAGTGTCTTCTCCTCCCTGGACCCCTTCTGCTGTCTATTTTCCCTTGAACGATCAGCTGTAGTACTCTATATTTATTATGTCTCATAACGTGACCCAAGTATTTCAACTTTCTTTTCTTTATACTTATTCCTACCTCTCTCTCTTTACCTATCCGGCGTAGTACCTCTTTGTTGGTGACGTGCTCAGTCCAGGATATACGTAATATACGTCGGTAAGCCCACATTTCGAAGGCCTCTACTTTTTTATCAATGTTGCGGTCATTGTCCACGCCTCCATTCCATATAACAAAACCGGGAATACATAACATTTCAGAAGTCGAATTTTGAGAGGTAGGGTGAGGCTTTTAGAGGTGAAAATTTGCTTCATGCTAGTGAACGATGCTCTTTTGCCTTTTCTACTCTTATATGTATTTCCTTCGTTTGATCCCAATTTGAGTTAACTGTTGTTCCCAAGTAGATGTACGAATCCACGTGTTCAATTCTTTCATTGTCTAATATCAGTTGCTGTGGTGGTTGTTGGGTTTTGCTTACTAACATCCATTTGGTTTTTGTGATATTTAGTCCAAGTCCGTATTGTGCACTTGTTTTTTGTATCTTACTCATTAGGCAACTGAGTTCCTCCATGCTACTTGCTAGAATTACAGTGTCATCAGCATACCTTATGCTAATAATTATTTCTCCATTTATCTTTATGCCTTCTGTGCTTTCCTCCAGCGCTGTCTTAAATACTTCTTTTGAGTATATATTAAAGAGATACGAGACAAGATACAGCCCTGTCATACCCCTTTCTTTATTGGTCAATGTAATTCCTACTTTCACTTTAGCTGTTTGACCCCAATAGAGACTCGCTATTGTTCGAATGTCTCTGTTGTCGACTCCGATCTTATGGAGAACTTTTATCTTTTCGTGTTTTACGTTATCGAATGCTTTTACGTAGTCTGTAAAGCATATGTACACGTCTTTGTTCATATCTCTGTCTATTGCAGCATGCAAAAGGTCGTTATGTGTTATTTATGCCTGTCTAGTTCTTTATATTCCGTAGCCATGACATTTATTTGCAACCTACTCCTCCCTTGCTCTTAAACTTTCCTTGGATAATTAGTTGAGTGATTGCGTAATTGTTCCTCTCAGGATATGTTCCAGGTATCCAATTTTTTGTACCTTGATCAAGTTGAGTAATTCTCTCTCAGTATTTGCTCTTGTTAAAACTTCCTCGTTTATTGCCCTATCTTTCCATGATATGCGGAAGATTCTTCGCAAGGTCCACATTTTAAAGTCTCCAACTTATTAATGAAGGATATTTTTAATGTCCGAAGATTGAAGGAAAGATTGCGGTTACATAGTGGTGGCTTAAATTTATTAAAAGCTTGTTTGGTACGGCAATTTATTTCTGGTTGAGGTTTCAATTTTTCACTTGCTTGCGGTTTTTCTTATTATAATGCATTTAGTCTTTTCAGAATTTATCTTCAAGCCATATGTTTTTCCTACGCAATTAGATATACTGTTGCATAAATGTCGAATATGCACATTTTTGATGCCAAAAATATTGATTTTCAAATTTGAGGGCACATTCTTGAAACCATTTTTTTATTCTTTAGTATTATAAACTAAAAAAAAAATAATGCCGACACCAGAAACGAGGGTAATCATTTCTTTTTTGCAATATTTCAAAAATTTACTTAAAATCACTGTAGAATCTGTTCAAAAGCATCTACAAACCTTTTTAGAAAACAAAAAAAGGCCTTTTTTATATTTTATAAAATAATTATTTACCTATTCTCTTCATGCTTAATCTACAGGGTGAGTTTTAGTTATGGAACGCTTTATAACGCTATACAATTTATCTCAGAAACGACTTACAAGATTTCTGTAGATTTTAGTGCATAAGAGTCTTGTAATGCGGTCGATATTATGGTGGTATTTACATTGTTGTCAGATCTTCAGTGTTTCTGGATATATAATGAACCACCTTATTTTAAATTTATCATCCTGGTAGATAATGTAAGTTAATGTAAATGTATCAACATCTTCGAAATGATCTCATTAAGGTAATAAAAACATTACCTGAAAAATATTCAGTATTTCTTAAGTAATTAAAAGGCAAAACATATACAAGGTGGTTTATTTAAAATAAGAAAGTTAATTAGATTTTTAGAGAGACGGAAGACCTGATACCAATGTTAGTGCACCAAAGTATCTACCACAATACAAGATTCTTACACACCAAAATCTAGAATAATCGCGCAAGCCGTTTCCGAGATAGTTGACACCTTTAATATTTAATACTCACCTTGTAGATTAAGAATAAAGAAAAAAAGAAAAGTATTATTTTAAAAGTTTAAAAAAGGTCTTCAGTTTTTTTAGGTTTCTAGGTTGTTTAGACTAGATTCTACAGTGATTTTAAGTTGCGACATTTTTACTTATTATTATTTTTTATTATATTTTACATTTATTTATTTCGCTCATTTAATTTTCTAAATTTAGCAAAAAGACACAATTACCCCTGTTTCAAGTGGTGGCACTATTTTTTCTTTAGTTTTAAGTACGTACTAAAAAACAACAAAAAAATTGGATCCAAGAGTGTGCACTAAAATTTCACACTCAATATTTTTGCATTTAAAAAAGAAAAAAACCTTGTTATAATACAGAAAACAACAAACTCACCAGGCATTCAAATACTATAAATAAATTAGAAATGAATCAAATACTGTAATCAGAAAAATAAAAAAGGCAACACTATGAGTGTTTCCTTTTTTAAATCAGAAATGAAACAAATACTGTAATCAGAAAAATAAAAAGGAAACACTGGAAAAGCTTCTCAAAAGAGATGGAAAACGACTTCTACGGCAATTCTGCTTCTTCTGACAGTATCTATCCATTCCGGATATTGGCAAATAGCATGGCTATCCTTGCTTGCAGTTATTTAGAATAATACGTTTGAAGACATATTAAACCATTTTCTTAGGGTTTGAAGTCAAAATATTCTTCTTTTTCCAAATAGTCCTTCTTTCCAAATACCTTGCCCTGAATAATTAGTTGCAACAAGCCATACCACAAACCATATGTATGGCACTGATCAGAAGACAAGGAAAAGATATATTAAAAATGAGGCACATTTAGAAGGAAACGTTGGCATACTTTGGATCCCTATTTGCTAAAGGTGACGATAATGAACCACCAACACCAGAAGTGATGACAAACGAAGAAATAAATAATGCGAAGGGAGAGGTAAAGGAAAAATTAGGAAAGTAAAAAAATTGAAAGTCATCAGGAGAGGACATAATACTAAACGAAGTTCTAAAGTATGGAGGACCAATAAAACAAATCAAAGTTGTAACAAAAAACTGAATGAAATTATATCACTTCAAAAATCAACAAGGTTTTAGGTCGAGAGGACCATATACCGACTATAATATAAGCACTATATTTAATGAGGCAAGTGAAATAAAAAAATACTACACAGATAGACAGAATTCTTCAAAGAAAAGTTTGAAAAAAACGAATATCCACTATATGATGGAATTATGCTGGATAAAACAGATACCAGAGAAACAACCCATCCTCAGTAGCTGAAATGCAAGAAGCAGTTACCAGACTGAAAAACAACAAGTCACCTGGATTAGACAACATTAGCGCAGAATTAATAAAGGAAGGTGGAGACTCCCTATTGAATGCGGTACACGAACTAATAGGGAACATATGGAATAATAAACAACTGCCACAAGACTGGAATACCGGAGTAATTATCCCACTACATAAAAAGGGAGATTCAATGCAAAAACTACCGAGCAATAACGCTACTGACTGTGGCATATAAAGTACTGTCACATATTGTGTATGACCAATTAAGACCATATGCGGAACAAATAGTTGGGGGATATCAATGTGGTTTTCGCAGGCAGAAGTCCACAATAGATCAGATCTTCGTCTTTAGGCAAATCTTGGAAAAGACTAGTGAATCTAATATAGACACACATCATCTTTTCATTAACTTTTAGAGTGCTTATGATAGCATCCATCAAGAGTTTCTGATCCATGCACTGAAAGAGTTTAATATTTC